ACCCCCCCCCCCCCCAAAAAAAAACCCTCCAGATAAAAAAAAACATGTAGTCTGTGTTTTGTGGAATTGACTCAGTGGGCCTTCACACAGGTAAAAAAAAATTTAACCAATCAATGTTTAGCAGATCAACATTAAGTCTACAGTCTCATTAATGGAAAAAAGCAGGTTCCATTAATATATACCATTCTAAACATCTACCATTTTCACTTACAATCATAATTGTCATCCTCTTTTGAGAAGCACTCTTTGAACAGGCAAAGCATGGTCCGATAACAGTTGTCCAGTATTGACTTAGGTGTAACAGACTTCCATCCCTCGTAAGATGGGTCTGTCAAGCGATACACGATGTTTAGTATTCTCTCTGGAAGTTCTCTCTTTTTTGAAACAGGTACAAAGACACACACACACACACACACACACACATTTAGATTAATTTAACTTAAATAATGGAAATATATCACTCAAATAACAAATAACATCTGCAACACAGACTGGACAGATTTAAAAGGTCAAATTGAGTTCAAATAGAGATTCTTTCATTAAAACGAATGCTTGTATTCAAAAGTAGAACGATTGTTTGAGAGTTAGCTTAGAGATACTGTGAGCAGTGGCAATGACAGCCAGAATGATTTATAATGTGCTGCTGTTGAGAAAAGTGAAATCACATCATTATTCTAACCTCTTCATCTTTGGGATTCCGTTTGTAATAAAGCGCCTCAAAATCTCTGAAGAGATTCTCCAGATTGGAGAGGTATTTATGGCGTGTAGGATGTCTCTCTGGCAGCACCCTTAAAACCCTCTTTATACCACGCTGACTAACCCAAAGCCACAAGTCCTGTAAATCTCTCTTCAGCACTGGCTCCTCTTCATTACTCATATTCTAGAGAACAGAGTGAGAGATAAACAAGATAAGAAAGAAGGAATGAGAAGAAGAGGAACAGTAATGAGGAAAATCTTTAGTTATGGTTGTGATTTATAGCCATGTATTCTTTTACAATGTCAGCGTCTCGTAATGTTAGTTAGGTCTAAGGTAGGTCAAAGGTTTTATGCCAGGTTACATCAAATTCAGTTCAGTTACCAGATAACTGGAACAAAATTATATCATTTTCCAAATGGTTTGTATATTCCCTCTTTTTTAATAGCAGTATACAATATAACATGGGGAGTTAATAACTTATTGAACTGACCATTTACAGTTCAATAAGTCTGACTGCATGAGTTTCTTATATTCAGTCCATTAACTCCATTATAAAGTCAATAAAAAAAAATCTAGGTCTTCTTCTATCACATATATGTTGTTTGATATATCTCTAACTGTTCTTTCATCCATTTTTATATAATACTATAATACAATAATTTACTGTATTATGAATTGTCTTTGAAGGCAATGACGCATCAAGTGTCAAAGTTGGTACTGTACAAGATGCAAACCTCAAACCACAGCCCAACTTACTAGGAATTTTTTTTAACACACTTGAGCACTGCTGCAAAAGAAAATCTTTAAACATCTTCCAACAAAAAAGCACAACCAGGCAAAAGACAAAAGCTGAATGAAAATTTGCAAGCCATAATTCCACAACACAAGAGCTTCTGCAGTCTACATGTTGTCAAAAGCAGGAGGCATAATATGCATGAGATGATCATACAGTGCAAATGGGAGATAAAGTAAAACTCAAGCAGATTAAGCGTGGTAGTAAACCTGAGGCTGATCATGCGTCTATTTCAACTCTCGATTCGATGATGACCTAGGTTATCTCATCGGGAAACCATCGGAGTACTTTCAATAAACAGCAGTTGTTTGCTTAACCCTGTAGATATGACCGCTGACACGTCCAGGCATGCAGAATACTAAAAGTAGGAAATTCGCCCCTTTTTCAATGCAACGTCCACGCAAATGACTCGGAAACTCCCTTTTCTTTATGTCACCTCTTTATGTTAAGTCTATATAACGTTACACCCGCCTACAGCCTTCTCCACTCTAAAGTACCACGAGAACAACACGCTGAGTAAAGCGCCACAGTCTATGAGACTGTTACTTTCACTTTTGGGTCTACATAAACTATTAACTCATCAGTGATTGGGTTTGAATAAAGGGTCAGCCTTCCTGAACTAAAACGCGAAGAAACAGTATATGGTGCCTTTGTATGGCCGCTCAACCAATTATAGAGAGCTTGACCCCCCCCCTAATTAAAGTTTGAAATGTTGGGGGTCTTAAAAGTATTTTTACACAAGTAAATACGTTTCAACAGCGTTTTCGAACATTTCATAACGTTAGGCTATTCAAAATAGTTAGAACGCGCTAAACGTACATCTCGATCGTCTGTAGCGGTCGGTATATTTAAACATATCTACTGCCATTATCACGTTATAATATAATTAAGTCAACAAAAATGTAATGAAATTATCATATTTTGTTAATTTCTTTCATAACGTTTATATCAAGTAGATAAGACATACACCAATCGACTGTGCACAGAAAAAATACCCAACATAGTCAATAATGCTTATACTGCACTAAACCTCTGCAGTTTTACAATATTAAGGATGACCACAAAATTGACACCAGCCAAAAATTGGTTCACCAAAACTATTACCGATGAATCATCAACGCCTTCAGTAAATGAGAATGGTTCAAGCAGATCCAGTGTGTCTACTTTTCCCAATTTCCCTGTAGACCTCATTCACCCATTACATTACTAATTTATTCCCTACATTTACTGTGGTACTGTGGTGACAGGCTTGGCACAAATGGACACTTTTAGGAATTTCATGACAAAATGCTTTTTCGGACTCTGAAGTGCCTCATCTTGCAACACAATGGACAATGGGCATATGGGTGACCAACGCACACTGCACACGGCTTTGAGCGTAGGATTGCTTTGTCAATGGCTACAATGGCCCCCTTGTTTTGTAGTACCTATAACCTCTTTTTAGGGGCATAAGCACTTGAAGATAGTGCTATCTATGCTGTTTTAACAAAGGCCAGAGTCACTTAAGACCCAAGACAAACGAAAGGGACATTCTGAGTCCCCCAACCAGCCATTAAAAAAAACAACAAAAAAAACACCATCTGTCAGCCGAGATTATATCACATCAATATGGAAACCCCCCCAAAGGAAGAAGAGTGAAAGAAAACTTTTAAACATCACCAGGTTATAAACACCCTCCACAATCCCTCAACCTACTTTAATAACCTGATATGACTTTTTTTTTTTTTATTCTTTCCCAGTGCATTCTTCCCCACATCCTTACCAGCACATTCTTGGGGTACTAGTTATCCAACCATCCAGGCTTGGATTAGGTGACATGAGGATCCAGGATTTAGATTACAAATTACAATAATCATGCTAACAACAATCATAGCCTTCTGTTAGCAGAGTCAGAAGCAATTTGAGGTTACTGCAATAGTACAATTTTACATCCGAGAGATCATAAAACTATTGACTATAGATGCACACCGGACTGGAACAAGCTCAGAGCATATATCTCATGTCAAGTAGACTTGCAAACATTGTGGCCTTCCTCATATTGCTCAATTTTCTAACTCTATTCCACAGCATGACTTTGCAAGAATTTGGGTAACTCTCAACTTTATGAATTCTTTATATTAAGGATGCAGTTAAAGTGATAACTGGACTGTAGGGGGAACGTGGTAGAAAATAGGTGCTCATTTCATTAACATTGTGGGTTTTAGTGTGACCAGGATGTGACTCACTCTAATGGAATACTTATTATAGTCTGTCTTCACTTTCGTCATGCTCCACTGACTGAAGCAATTAAAATTAAAAAAATGACAAGAGAATGATTTATGAAATGGAATCCTTGTCGCCAAAAATAGTGATTTGAATTATGTTTGAACTACTGCTGTAATACAATAAAAAAAAAAAAAAAACATTACAAATTCAGTCCTGTGACAAAGGAGAACTTGCATCATTCTGGATTTTAGAAAGAACATCAACATATTTGGTACCTATTTTGGTATTGTCAATACTAGTTTAACTTAGCGGTCTCTTTAGCCCATGGCAGTAGTCAACCTAAAGTGAAAATATCAAGAGATCACGCTACATACACATTACACTAGCAATGTTGGACAGTCATCTCAAGTCTCTAAAAGGACTTTTCAAATCAACAAAAATTAAGTAGGTTGTCAGGTCAAGTGCAATCAGATAGCAAAATATAAAAAACAGATTTAAAATCCCACTCTTAATATTTGCTGAAATAAATGAGAAAAAGCCTATTAACTCACTAAGACTGAACAATTTTAAGGCATCAAACAATGACTCATTGTCATGAGAAAGATGCACGATCATTATGGGGCTTCCACCAAGAAGAAGAAAAAAAAAAAGGCGTAAGAAAACAGTGAAAACCTGCTTTGCCTGTGGGCTGTTAAAGACAAACAGCAAGTCTCGACAAACACAGAAATACACGAGAACGTAAAAACCGTTTATTTAAATTTTTTCTCTCACTGCGTGACAAACAGCACTATTTCTTTCAGATTTTCTGGGTTTGGATGATTATAGCCCCCACCCCCCACCACCCAAAAAAAAAGTTAAAAACCACAACAGATTTGCTGTATCCATGTAGAGACAAAAACTAAAGCTATTTTACAATTTACTGTTTTTACAAGAGTGGCAACAGCTTTAACTTTCAAAAGAGACAATTTCAATAGCCAAAACGTGAATGATAGAATGTTTTATGCAGACCGATTCATACAATAAAATGTGTATTTAATTAAACACAGCCACTCATGTATACAAGCTGATGTAGTCCTTTGCATGAAAACATTCCTCCTAAAATATTTGTCACTATGCAACCGCTCAGTATGAACTAAAAACCGAGATGCTTTGTACGGAGTACAGAATCAACAGTCATTTCAAACAGGACAAGGTTACTGACCACTGGGACTCTGACAACTCCCAGCTGGCCTCAGTTAAAGGGGGGACTTCCTTCAGCTGTCACCAAAATGTTGCTCCTACACTTGTGGTAGGAAAGTTGAGACCACAGCCATGGGAAGCCTGGAAAAACAATTGATTTTCTCATGGTGTGCCTGCCAGATGTGAAGACACTAGAAGGCATAGCGTGTTCGGATGTCTTCCAGTTTCTTCGACACCTCTGGAGGCGTGCTGTCCAATTCCTCAGAGACACTCTTCTGCTTATGGAGCTCCATGGAGTTAAACTGCTTACAAAGGTTTCCATCGATCACATTCTGGAAGCATACAAGCAAAGTCAGTGAGAAAGATGGCCAACCGGTGCATTAAGTTAACCAAATCTAATTTCTTTGCAAAATGATGGACACTATTTTTTTTTTAAAGATACCACACAAAGCATAAGTGGGTAATTAAGAACGAATTAAAGTCTCCTGTTATATTAAAGCTGTAATATATTAACTGTGTGTTTGTCCTTACATTTACTGGGAAATAGTACGAGCAGAAGCTGAGGTGATCACGACCACACAGAGGGGGAAACTCAGAGCCCATATGCATCTCCAAGTGCTGGAAGTCATGATCCTAAAGACAGACGAGACAAATACTTATTTTAACAATATAATAACATACTCTGTTACTTGCGTAACCTCGGTTCCCTGAGATATGGGAATGAGTACTGTGTCCCTAGACGCTATGGGGAAAAACTCATTTTTCTCAGAGGACTAAAGCCTTTACAATCATGCAGTGTAAGTGCACGGCCATTGGTTCGTGCAGTGAAAAAAAAAAAACGAGCAGAGCTGCACGAGCCTATGGTGACGAAGCCCGCCAGAATGGGCGGGGCCATCTGGCTATATAAGCGGGCATTTCGCCATAGGATCTCAGGTAAATTCGACTGAAGCGACACAGAGTCGTACAGAGTCGTGCAGCGTCGTATCTCAGGGAACCGAGGTTACCCAAGTAACCGAGTACGTTC